CTGGGACAGCTCCTGGGTCCCACCTGGAGCTGTTATCCCCAAAACCAGAGCCCAGTGAGGTGCAGAGCTGCTGCCTCAGCTGCTTTTACAAGGTTTTTAAGTTGAGAGTTGACTCCAGAAGGTGAGAGGCTGTAGGCAGGGTGCTCTTTAAATGTGGGGTGTGTTTCTCCTGGCATCCTTGTAAATGGCAATATCTGTCACGGGAGGTTTCCTTGTTGCCTCTCTTGGCCCAGAACTCCTTTGAGAGCTGTCACATCATCTCGGTGGCCCCTGGGCTGTCCTTGAAAGCCTGGCAGGAGTTTACAGCCCATTAGCAGAGTGCTGGCTGCACAGAGGGGGCTGAGTGGTGGATCCTGCCCAGCCCCAGGCCATGGGCTTTGTGTGCCACGGTGCTGTCCCCGTCCCGGGCAGCCTTTGTCCCGTGGAGCATCAGCCCGAGTGCAGCTGCGGCTGCATCGCTCCTGACCATGGGGATTTCTTACAGCTGAGCAGAAATGTGGGATGGGCAGGGCAGGGCACAGTGGGTCCTGTGCTGCTCGGGATCCCCTTTTCCCTCTCTGCCACACCAATGTCGTGTGTCCATTCTGGCAGTCACACCAATGTCCTGTCCCCTTTCCTCTGGCTGCCACAGCAATGTCCTGTGTCCATTCTTTCTGCCATACCAATGTCTTGTGTCCATCCCTCTGACTGCCACACCAATGTCCTGTGCCCATTCTGGCTGCCACACCAATGTCCTGTCCTGTGCTGGTCCCTCTCTCTGCCACACCAATGTCCTGTGCCCATCCTCTGGCTGCCACACCAATGTCCTGTGTCTGTCCCACTGCCCAGGTGTCCCCAAGGCAGCCTGAGCTGTCCCATCCCTGTTTTCCAGGCAGGACAGCTGCAGGCCCAGCAGGGCTGAGGTGCAGATCAGAGATGAGGTTTTTGTTACCAGCTCGTTCCATCCTGTCCCTGTACCACAGGAAATGTGGCAACGGTTTATGGTTAAAGCTTCTGTTTTTCTTCCTTTGGGCAGAATTGCAGATTCTGCAGCAGAAACTTTGCACAACCGGAGGTTGGGGGTGATTTGTGAGGAGCAGCAAGTGGCTGATCTGGTTATGCACTGCAGTGCTTCAATTCCCAGGCTGTGGCTGCTCTTCCTGCAGCACAGGACTGGTGCTGCTGGGCTGGTTTGGGTGTGGAAGCAGAAAAGCAGAATATTTATGTGTGCAGGATTGGGATGGATGGGTGGTTCCTGCTTGGAGGGCTCGTGGTGTTGCCTGGCCTGAGCATCACATGAGTGGCAAGAAGAAGTGAGGGGTTGAGCCCTCGGATCCCCAGTGCCCTAAAGGGCTCCCCCATCCCTAAACAGCTCCTGGAGCTGGGCTGGCCCCACTCTGGATCCTCTGGGACAGCTGGCTGGAGTTTGCTTTCTTTTATTTCCCATGTGTGTCCCCAGGTGTCATCAGGACACTGTGCCCATGGTGGGATGGATGCATGACAGAAATTACCAGAATTTCTTTCCCTGGAGTGGGAAGTGTGGGAGGAAGAGGAGCTGGGCAGGCTGAAGGTACCCCTGGGGTGCCCAGGGTGGGGAAGGCAGGATGGCAGAGCTGGGCAGAGCTGGAGTGTGCGGTGACATCGGTGACATTGTGTGACACCGGTGACAGTGGCGTGCTCCTGAGCCAGCCCCCTCCTGCTGGGAGTGCTTGGGGTTTCTTGGCAGCCAAGACCCTCCTGATGTGCTGTGTGTGCCTGCTGTGAGGGCCTGGCACTCTGCTGCCCTGCTGTGCCCTGTCCCTCCATGGAAACCCAGCTGCCCTGAGCTGCTGGCACTGTCCCTGTGCTGAGAACGTCACCAGGGGAGGGACCCGGGAGAGAAAAACTGCAGTGACAGGGACACACAGAGCTGCTGGGCTTGGCTCTGCCGTGGGGGGATGGAGGGATGGATGGATGGATGCATGGATGATGGATGGATGGATGATGGATTCATGGATGGATGATGGATTCATGGATGGATGGTGGATTCATGGATGGATGGATGGATGGATGGATGGATGGATGGATGGAGCCAGGGGAGGTTTGGACTGGATAGCAGTGAAAATTTTTTCATGAAAGGGGAAAATGGTGGAATCACTATCCCTGGAAGTGTTCAAAAGATGGATGGATGGATGGATGGATGGATGATGGATCCATGGATGGATGGATGGATGGATCGATGGATGGATGGATCCATGGATGGATGGATGATGGATCCATGGATGGATGGATGGATCCATGGATGGATGGATCGATGGATGGATGGATGCTCTCTGTGCTGGGCTGTGTCTGTGCCATGGATGATGCTGTGGTACCCTCAGCAGCTCCCACTCTCTCTGTGCAGGAGGGGACAGTCCCAGGGTCCCTGCCCTCCCTCCCTGCGTGTTTGGGGTGGTGAGGGGCAGCACAGCTGTGCCTGTGTCAGTGCTGTGACATGGGTGACATGAGGAAGTGCAGCCTTTCTGAGAGTTCATCTTCTGTTAACTCATAGGGAAGGGGTGTGGGGTTTTTGTTGCTTTTCTTTTTTTTTTTCTCCTTTTCCATCATGCTGCTTTCAAAACCTCAACCCTCAGCATGGTTTCTAAAGATGATTTTTAAAGACTCCCCTGCCAACCCAGCACCTGTGAGTGGCCAAGAGTTGGTGCAGCGTGAGCCAAAGGACTCTGACAGACTGGGGAGCTCTGATAAAGGGATATTTCACACAGTTCACAGAATCACTGGGTTGGAAGAGACCTTAGAGATCATCAAGCCCAACCCAGCCCCAACACCTCACCTAAGCCCTGGCACCCAGTGCCACATCCAGGCTTTGTTAAACACCCCCAGGGATGGGGACTCCACCACCTCCCTGGGCAGAACATTCCAGAACTTTATCACCCTTTCTGTAAAAAGCTTTATGTGCAGATGTCAAATAACCCAGGAAAGCTTTGCTTTTATTGTCATAAAATGCTTTGGGTTGGAAAGAACCTTAAATGTTTGGGGGGAAGGGACCTCATCCAGTGCCACCCCTGCCATGGATGGGACACCTTCCACTGTCCCAGTGTGTCCAGCCTGGCCTTGGGCACTGCCAGGGATGGCACAGCCCCGGCTGCTCTGGGCACCTGTGCCAGGGCCTGCCCACCCTCCCAGGGAAGGATTTCTCCCCAGTATTTCATGTAAATCTCCCCTCTTTTGGTTCAAAGCCATCACCCCTTGTCCTGTCACTGTTTAAAGCCCCTCTCCCTCTCTTGGGGTGACCCCAATGTCCCTGCTGTCCCCTGAGTGAGTGCCACCCCAATGTCCCTGCTGTCCCCTGGGTGCCACCCCAGTGTCACTGCTTATTTACAATGTCCTTGTCCTGTGTGCTCTGGGGCTGCCTGGGAAGACACAAGCTCTGCTCCCCAAGATACTTTTTTTCTCTTTTTTCCCCCCCTTTTTTCCCTTTTTTTTCCTTTTTTTCCCTTTTTTTTCCCTTCTCAGAGGTTACAGTTTTCATTCAGAGCCTTCCCAGCCTCAATGGCACATCCTTCACGCTTCCTGCTCCCTGCTAATGCCAGCCTCTGAGCAAGCCCACATAAAATCTGGGCAGAATGCATTTCCAGGCTGTCACCAGGGAGGGTGGTGAGCTCTGAGCAGGGAGATCCAGCCCACTGAGCATTGCCCAAGACGCACCGAGAGCTGTTTGCTGCAGATTGAGCAGATAAAGCAGGCAGACCTGCCCTCCTGGCTGGAGGGGAGCCAGGGGAGGTTTGGACAGGATAGGAGTGAAAATTTCTCCATGAAAGGGGGAAATGGTGGAATCACCATCCCTGGAAGTGTTCAAAAGGCTGCAGATGTGACACTTGGGGACGTGGTTTCATGGTGCTGTGTTGACAGCTGGGCTCGATCTCAGAGACCTTTTGTGACCTTAATGATTCTGTGATTATTCATGAGTGGCATTTCCATGGCTGAGCCCACCTACAGGTCAGATCTGTTGGTTTTGGAGGAAATTCCCCCAAATTTGGGCAAGGAAATTCCCCCAAACCTGGGTGAGCAGCTTCCCATGCTTCCCAAGAGCAGTGAGAGATTTAACTGCAGGTTCTGCCTGGGTGAGCCCAATGGAAGCTGCTTGAGTTTTTGGGAGTCAGAGCTGTGAATACTGGAAATAGTATGGGATTTTTTTTTTCTTGCATTGCAAAAAGGAAATAAATGCTTGCAGCTGGAGATGGCTTTGCTTTGAAAGTGGGTTTTAAAGGTTGGATTTTTTGCCCTCATTTGTAGTGGGATGCTTTACTTCTCTGTGCCACCAACTGGTGCATTTTGTGTTGCCTCCACTGCCTGTCACAGATCTGTTGGTTTTGGAGGAAATTCCCCCAAATTTGGGTGAGCAGCAGCCTCTGTCCCCCTCTGGGGGAGCCCAGGCAGACACTGAGCAGTTCCTGATATGGGCTGGGATGCCTGGATTACCTGATTTATCACCAGTCACACAGCCAGCCTGCTGCTCTTTTATTGCTCTGAGCTGTAATTTCCCAAGCTTTGGACAAGAGCAGTGAGGGATTTAACTGCAGGTTCTGCCTGGGTGAGCCCACTGGAAGCTGCTTGAGTTTTTGGGAGTCAGAGCTGTGAATACTGGAAATAAAATTGGATTTTTTTCTTGCATTACTTTGAGGAGTCAGAGCCTTGAATACTGGAAATAGGATGGGATTTTCTTTCTTGCATTACAAAAAGGAAATAAATGCTTGCAGCTGGAGGTAGCTTTGCTATGCAAGTTGGTTTTAAAGGTTGGATTTTTTGCCCTGGTTTGTAGTGGGATGCTTTACTGCTCTGTGCCACCAACTGGTGCATTTTGTGTTGCCTGTCACTGGTGTCAGAGGTGGTTTGGGGTTGGGATGTGGCATCCTGCCCATTTGGGGACAGTCCCCACCTGCGTCATCAGTGCTCAGGATCTGTTCCTGCTTTCAGGAGCTGAACAGATGGAGCATTACCCAACGCACAAAGCAGCTAAAGCCCCACTCTTCTGATTGCAGAATGTGACACAAACTGTAGAAGAAGAAAAACCTGAGCCTCCAACCGTCCAGGAGATCAAACAGAAGATTGAAAAGTACAATGCAAAGGTCGCCAACTGCCTGCTGATGAAACTGGTACGTACTGGGCTGGTTTCCCCTCACACACACAGACTGGGGCTGGTTCTTTTGGGCCCTGAATGGGGCCAGCCTGTGGGGAAGGTGTCTCTGGTGGCTGGCAAGCTGCTTTTCCTCCTGCTGGGCTTCCCAGTGGCACTGACACTCCAGGTGATGGCTAGCTCAGTCAGTAGAGCATCAGACTCTTAAGCTCATGGTCGTGGGTTTGAGCCCCACGTTGGGCGCCAAAATATTGGAATTAAATACCAATATTGCTGGATGGAATGTGCCTGGGCTCATCTGGCCCTTGCTGCTTGGCCAAGGGTGGCAGCTGTGGTGGTTTCACCTCAGAGACACCTTTGGCTGTGGGATGTGTGGTGTTTCACCCCAGAGACACCTTTGGCTGTGGGATGTGTGGTGTTTCACCCCAGAGACACCTTTGGCTGTGGGATGTGTGGTGTTTCACCCCAGAGACACCTTTGGCTGTGGGATGTGTGGTGTTTTCACCCCAGAGACACCTTTGGCTGGCTGGGTGTGTGGTGTTTTCACCTCAGAGACACCTTTGGCTAAGCTCGACGCTGCAGCTGGCGCTTGGGACACTCCAGGCATGCAGGAGCTCAGGTTTACCTCTGGTGGAGAGGCTTCAAGGGGAGGTGAAGGAAAAGGAGTTGGGTTCTGCTGGAGGGTTTGGATCCAGAGCTTTATTCCTGGCACACAGGCCTCTGAATGCAGCAACAGCTCCAACAGAACAGCCAAACCCTGTGGTTGCTGTGTCTTTTAACCCCAGGGAGAGGGGCAGAGAAGGGGTAGGGATCCCACCAACCAGGTAAGGGGGGGGAAATGTCAGGACAAATGACACATGGATGGCTCAATGATGGCTGAGAGGCATCTTTTGAACTTCACCAATCACACCTTCCCTGCCTCCATCCCTTCCTGCTGGCACTGATCTCTGGCAAGGAGCTGCCTCAAAGCCTTGTCCCAGATGGATGAGCCCCAGTGGGGATGAGTCGTGGTGGAACCGGGGCTGTGAGCTGTTGGAAGTGGCTTTAGGAACACAAAACCTTTCTAGAGAGAGGAGCTCTGCCCTCAGCACTGCCAGGCTTCCTGGGTGGGCTATGCAGAACCAGGCTCTTCTGATTCCTGCATTTTTGTGGACCTAAGGATGAGGTTAAGAGACGTGTGGTGGGATCAGAGATAACTTGTTACATGGAGAATCTCTTAAATGGAGAATAAAACATAAGGAATAAGTTTGGGAGATCCTGCTGAACCAGGGGTTTCAAATCCATATCAAGTCCAACTACAAATTCCATGCAATGGAATTTCCATAACTGTCTCGTAGCAGGGCTGGTTTGAAATAAAACAAGATCCCACAGGCGAGAGAGGAAGGGATGAGTCACTGCCAAGAGAAAATCAGCAGTGACTGTCCCGAAATTACTGGGTACTTTTGACGTGATTAATGAGAAACGCCGGAACTCCCGGAGAGCGGGGGCAGCTCCTGCTGTCACCCCACACTTGTTGTGGTGGGACAGGGGCTGGAAAAGCTTCCTGGAGCCTGATCCTTGCGTGCTTTGCCCCAGAACGATGACGGGAGCTACACAGGGTTCATCAAGGTGCACCTGAAGCTGCGGCGGCCGGTGACGGTGCCGGCCGGGATCCGGCCCCAGTCCATCTACGATGCCCTCAAGGAGGTGAACCTGGCTGAGATGACGGACAAGAGGACCTCTTTCTACCTGCCCCTGGATGCCATCAAGCAGCTGCACATCAGCAGCACCACCACGGTGAGCGAGGTGATCCAGGGGCTGCTGAAGAAGTTCATGGTGGTGGATAACCCGCAGAAGTTTGCACTTTTCAAGGAGATGAGGAAAGATGGGCAAGGTGAGTTCAGGGCCTGGAAGCTCTGCCTGGGGTGGGGAGTTTGGTTTCTTGTTGGTGTGCTTTAGGACTCACTGGGTTGTCAGACAGGAAAAATGGTGTCTGGTCACTGATTGACCTAAATCCAGGTGAATCAATGGCCAGACCCCCACAGGAGGTGATGCTGCTTAGGTTAACAGGGAATTATGATTTCAGAAGGGCTGGAAACACCTGAGACCTTACAGGGATCTGAGACTCAGCCCTGTGATCCTGAGCATCCTTTTCCATGCTCCAGCTGTTCCCCTGAGCAGCCCTGATCTCACTGCGGGTGTCTGCTGTCCTTGCAGTGCTCTTCCAGAAGCTTCCTCTGACCGAGTACCCGCTGTACCTGCGGCTGCTGGCGGGCCCTGACACCGATGCGCTGAGCTTTGTGCTGAAGGAAAACGAAACGGGGGAAGTTGAGGTACATTGGTGACTTTTCCTTGGTTTTACACAAATATGGAGCACATGGCAGAGCTGGGAGATGTGTGACAGAGGCAGCACAAAAAGGGCTGTTTCCCTCTAAGAGGTCTTTTATTGCTCCTGAATGATCTGGGTTTTTAAAACAACTCAAACTTGAACTGAGTTTTTTAAAACCATTCAAACTTGAGTCTTTTATTGCTCCTGAATGATCTGGGTTTTTAAAACAATTCAAACTTAAATTGGGTTTTTAAAACAATTTGAACTTGAGTCTTATTGCTCCTGAATGATCTGGGTTTTTAAAACAATTCAGACTTGAACTGGGTTTTTAAAACAGTTCAAACTTGAACTGTGTTTTTTAAAACAATTCAAACTTGAGTCTTTTATTGCTCCTGAATGATCTGGGTTTTTAAAACAGTTCAAACTTGAACTGTGTTTTTTAAAACAATTCAAACTTGAGTCTTTTATTGCTCCTGAATGATCTGGGTTTTTAAAACAATTCAAACTTGAACTGGGTTTTTAAAACAACTCAAACTTGAGTCTTATTGCTCCTGAATGATCTGGGTTTTTAAAACAATTCAAACTTTAATCTTTTATTCCTCCTGAATGATCTGGGTTTTTAAAACAGTTCAAACTTGATCTGGGTTTTTAAAACAATTCAGACTTGAACTGGGTTTTTAAAACCATTCAAACTTGAGTCTTTTATTGCTCCTGAATGATCTGGGTTTTTAAAACAGTTCAAACTTAAATTGGGTTTTTAAAACAATTTGAACTTGAGTCTTATTGCTCCTGAATGATCTGGGTTTTTAAAACAATTCAGACTTGAACTGGGTTTTTAAAACAGTTCAAACTTGAACTGTGTTTTTTAAAACAATTCAAACTTGAGTCTTTTATTGCCCCTGAATGATCTGGGTTTTTAAAACAATTCCAACTTGAGCTGTGGAAATGCTGAGGCCAGTTTTGATGGCCACCCCATAATCTGTTTATGGAACCCGGCAGTGCTGCCCCAGGGTTAATCCTCACTAATTAGATTAGCTGAGCACTGTTATAAGTAATCCAGTAATTTAAGTAAAAGCCAGGGACACTCAGGTAATAAATTCACAGCCAGTTTTTGGTTGAAATCTTGCTCCCCACCACAGCATCCTGGAGGATTCTGTTTCTTATTTGTGGTGGGAGAATTGGGATTGTCCTTCATGCTGTAGCCCCTTATCCCATCCCTCTCACCACTGGAGGTTAAATCCCTGGAGATCAGATCCATTTAGATGTATTTTATTGCTCCTCCTCACAGATTGAGAGGTAAGAGCCCACAAAGGCCAGCAGGTGTGTGCTCACTTTGCCTCTCTGCTGGTTTTGCAGTGGGACGCCTTCTCCATCCCGGAGCTGCAGAACTTCCTGATGATCCTGGACAAGGAGGAGAAGGACAAAATCCAGCAAGTGCACAAGAAGTACGAGAGGTTCAAACAGAGACTGCAACAGACCCTGAAAGAGGCCAGAGGCAAACCTGGATAACCTTCAGGAGGCACTGGGCATCAGACTAAGCTAGAGACTGTTTTAAATGAAAAGACTTCTCAGGACACCTTAGTAGTCATTCTCCCTCTTCAACCTTCCACAAGGAGTGGCTCCCAGCACCCTTACAATTATCCTCTTGCATTTTCTTCTTCTGAAACCTCTTCTCCCAGGACCAGAGCCAGTCCAAGAACGGGAAGCCTGTTTATAAAACAGCTTCAACAAAGCAAACACAGCTGCTGGTTGGATTTCCAGCCGTGCCATCCGCTGGAGAGGCTGCATGGAAAATCCTCGGTGTGACACCCAACAGGACCCCTCTGCTGGCTGAATTTTGGAGCAGGGCAGTTCCTGCTCCTCCCAGCGAGCTGCTTGTTCCTGTTTGGAGGTGCTGTGGCCCACAGTGCCCTCGTGGCCCAGTTGTGGTTTCGTAAGGAGAGCACAGGAAGCAGCAGGAAAAGGGGAGGAGGTTGTTGCACCAAACCACGTGGGTGTTGCAGCTCTAGCCAAGGCCTGGACCTGTTCAGGGCTAAGGCAGCCCGGGAAATGCCAGGTTAGGACACCAAGGCAGCTGCAACACCCCAACAGTCTGTTAGTAAATATTATTGCAGCTTGGTGATAGTAATTCCCAGGAAAATAATTCATTTTGATTCTATTTGACTTCTAATTTTGGAAAGAGCTGAATTACAGTAACTGTCCCTGATGCTTAGCCAAGTTAGCCAGGGTTTCACCAGTTCTCTACTCTGTAGGAATTGGGACCTTTGTTTCCAGAAATTCTGTTTGAAAAGTGTAAAGGTGATGGTTGGGGCACAGGCTGAGGGTTCAGTGTTGAAGGTTTAGCAATATGTGTCCATCAGAGGAACCCAGGAAAGCTCAAAATCCCCTCACAAATCCGATTTTGAGCTGTGAACGTGCCTGGCCCCGAGGGAGAGGAGCCCCATCCAGGGCTGGGGTGTGGAGGTGGCACCAAGGAAGGGAATTACTGTCCTTGGATGCTTTCTGCTCACCTCACCTGGCCTTCCTCCTGCTCCTGCTGTCCCTGTGCCCTGTTCTCCCTCCCCACTCTCAACTGGTGCTGTCCTGCCTGTCCAGGAGGCTTCCCAGGGTTTGCTCTCTCCGTGGAGCCAGGAGAGGACAGCAAGTCTCTCTCTGCCTGTCTCAGGGCTGCCACCACGCCACGCTGAGCATCCCTCAGCAAAGTCCTTGAGGTGCAGGCTGGGTCCCTGCCCTCACTGCTGCTGCTGAGGGGTGCAGGGATCACTGCTGGGCTGGGATGATCCTGGGGGAGAGGATGGGCCCCATGTTTACCCTCAGTGCTCCATTCTGAGCACACTGCACACCAGGGCCAGCCCTCCCTCTGCTCACAGCCCAGGGAATGTCAGTGCTGGATGGGGATGGAGCAGGGACGGGGTGGTGTGGGCTCATGGAGCCCACCTGCATCCCTTGGGAGGGGAGGCAGCGGGTTATTGGGAAACAGGGAGGAGTTCAAATTTACCTCAGTGCCTTTTTTTTCCCTTAAGTGTGAAAACTTTGCATTTGGGCTAAGGAGGAAGCTGTGCAGAGGCTTGTCCCTCCTGTCCCCACAGCACTGGTGTGACGAGGCCCTCATGTCCGGGGAGGGATGAGGAACTGCTGTGTTTCTTTCTGGAAGGTGATTGCTTGGGATTTTATTTTTTTTTGGTCCAGATTTTGAGTATGTTTGTTTCTAAACCTTATGAGAGTAACTGCATTACTTGGTGTGAAAGCCACTTTCTGCCAAGCTCAGTTGCAGCTCCTGTTGTGGTCAGCAGTGAGGGTTTGCTCGCAGGGCTGTGGTGCAGAGGAGCCTCCAGCTGTACTGTACTCTACACCCAACGACCTTTAACAACTGCTGGCAGCCCCGGAGCAGCGCTTGCCGTGCTCTGGGGCTGTTTGTCCGGCTACAAGCAGACTCAGCACTTCACTATTCACTTGTGGAGTCATTTAAATACCGTTTATCTGGTGCTTTGAGCCTTGACAGCACCGTATAAATACTTCAGTTCCACCGTGGGGAAGAGCGCTGTAAAAACTGCCCGGTGGCTCTCGGAGGGAAGAGCCACACGCTTGGTTTGAAATCCCTTTTCTTTCTGGCTGAAAGTTGTGCAGGTTTATTTCTATTTTTTATTTTTATTTTGGTGAGTGTCCCCTGTCCCTTCCTGGCCCCAGCATGTCTTTGACAGTTTGTAGAAGGCATGGCTTCGTATGCAATCACTGTGGATGCTGCTGAAAACCTCCTGCCACCAGCAGGGCTCATTCTTTTGATTTTTTTGGGTTTTTTTCAATATGAGGGGCATTTGATGAGTTGGTGGGTGTTGAAACTCAAATCCTCAAGGGTCAGCTGAGCTGGTTTTAGAAGTATTTGCCCCTTCTTTAAGCGCAAATCCTGTTGGCAGTGCCTTTGGTTAGCAATTGTCTCGCCTAGGTCGTGTAAGTTTCTTTTCCATGGCTACTGTAAAACCTGTAAAATAATGTGTATAGGATGGAATAGTAGAGCTTCTATGGCAAAGTGAAATGCATTTTTGCAATGCTGTAATTTATTTTTATTACTCCCTAGTGATTCTATGGCATTTTTACAAAATGTCTCACTCTCAGCTTTTTTTGAAGGTTCTGGAACTATTTGTTCATATGCAGACAGTGTAAGAGACAATGATAATAAAGCTGTCAGTAATTAAAGAAATCTCTTGATCTTTTTCTGGTGCCTTCCTATGGAACTTCAATGGATTTAGTCTAAAGGGAGATACAGGAATCCTTCCCAGAAGTGAATTTAAATTTTCTAACTTACTGTTAAAGAGCTAAAGAACATTCACACCTGTAAGACCTGACCAAAGTGTTCCATTAATTTAATCTTTTAGCTGGGGCTGACAGAACTGTTACCTGTGATAAATTACAGCTCATGTCATACATTAAAATGTATTTTTATATATAAAAATAATATAAACTATGAAAGTCCAGCTAATGCAGTTAATTCTCAGTGCTGAAATGTCTGAATTCAATACCTGGAAATGTTTAAAAAGATAAAATCTAAGCCAGAGGGGTTTTACTCCATGGCAGAACACACTGCACTGTCCCAGGATTGTGCTGGAATGTATTTTTCTCATATTTCAGAGGAGGTTTATTCCACATCCTTGATCAAAGATGCAAAGCAAGAATGTTAAACCAAAAACCACTGTAGCATCCAATGCTTCAGTATCAATTTCCATCAAAAAAAATCACAAGAGGACAATGCCAAGGGGTTTATTGAGCTTTTTATTTTTATGAAAAAGGAACACCTGGAGCACTGTTATTATTTGGGTGAATTCCAGACCTTGTAAACATCCAGGACTCATTGTGGAATGAGCAGGGCCTGTGCATGATCCTTGATTTGCTGGCAGCAAACCCTTGTATAAATAATGAAAATAATGAGAGCGGAGCAATCCTTGCAGTCGATTTTCCTCCTACTTCTTGCGGCCAAGCTTTGGAGCCTTGTCCAGGCCCTGGATGTATTTCCGAGGTAGCTGATACTCTTCTGCAACACAACCAAGAGCTCACTTCAGCTAAGGAAAACTTAAAGAATTAAAAAATCTCAGTTTTGCTGTAACCAGCCCAGTTCCAGAATCTTCTTACCGAGCAGCATCTTGGCCAGATGATGGATTTGGTTGCCTTGGATCTGGACCTGGACTCTGTCCTTTGTTCCTGGTGCTGGGCTGATGGTGGCACTGGCTTGGACCTTCTGTTGGAGGGTGTTGGCCACACACTGTGGGTCCAGACCATAGAGCTCAAGGTTCTTGATAATTGTCACCTGTGGGGATTAATAATGATTGGAAACATCACTGCTGAGGGGTTAGAAATGCTTGAAAACATCATTGCTGAAAGCTTAAAAATAATTGGAAACTAGTAAGGACTAGAAATATCACTGCTGAGGGGTTAATAATGATTGGAAACATCACTTGGGAAGGGTTAAAAATTATTGGAAACATCATTGCTGACGGGTTAATAATGATTAGAAACATCACTGCTGAAGGGTTAAATAACATTTGGAAACATCACTGCTGAAGAGATAAAAAATAATTGCAAACCTCATGCTGAAATGTTAATAATGATTGGAAACATCACTGCTGAAGGGTTAAAAATGTTTGGAAACTCACTGCTGAAGGATTAATAATGATTGGAAACATCACTGCTGAAGGGTTAAAAAATTATTGGAGGCATCACAGCTGAGGGGTTAAATAATAATTAGAAACATCATTGCTGAAGGGTTAATAATGATTGGAAGTATAACTGCTGAGGGGTTAATAATGATTGGAAACAATAATGCTTGGAAACATCACTGCTGAGGGGTTAAAAATTATTGGAAACATCACTGCTGAAGGGTTAAAAAAATATTGGAAATATCACTGCTGAAGGGTTAAATACTGATTGGAAACATCATTGCTGAAGGGTTAAATGAAAATTGGAAACCTCATGCTGAAACATTAATAATGATTGGAAATATCACTGCTGAAGGGTTAAAAATTGGAAATATCACTGCTGAAGAGTTAAAAATTATTGGAAACACCATTGCTGCGGGGTTAATAATGATTAGAAACATCACTGGGGAAGGGTTAAAAATTATTGGAAACGTCACTACTGAGTGTTAATAATGATTGCAAACATTACTACTGAAGGGTTAAAAATGACTGAAAACTAGTTAGGACTAGAAATATCACTGCTGATGGGTTAATAATAATTGGAAACCACTGCTGAAGGGTTAAAAAATGATTGGAAAGATCAGTGCTGAGAGGGGTTAATAATGATTGGAAACTAGTAAGGACTGGAAACATCACTGCTGAAGGGTTAAATAATAATTAGAAACATCATTGGTCAAGAGATAATAATGATTGGAAACATCTCTGCTGAGGGGTTAAATAATAATTGGAAACATCATTGCTGAAGGGTTAATAATGATTGGAAATATAACTGTTGAGGGGTTAATAATGCTTGGAAACATCACTGCTGAGGGGTTAAAAATTATTGGAAACATCACTGCTGAAGGGTTAAAAAAATATTGGAAATATCATTGCTGAAGGGATAATAATGATTGGAAACATCACTGCTGAAGGGTTAAATAATAATTAAAAGCATCACTGTTGAAGGGTTAAAAAATTATTGGAAACATCACTGCTGAGGGGTTAAATAATAATTAGAAACCTCATGCTGAAACATTAATAATGATTGGAAATATCGCTGCTGAAGGGTTAAAAAAGATTGGAAGCTAGTAAGGACTAGAAATATCACTGCTGAGGGGTTAATAATGATTGAACACATCACTGTTGAAGGGTTAAATGATAATTGGACTCATCACTGCTGAAAGGTGAATAATGATTGGAAGCATCACTGCTGAAGGGTTAAAAATTGGAAATATGACTGCTGAAGATTGGAAACATCAGTGCTAAAGAGTTAATAATGATTGGAAACATCACTGCTGAAGAATTAAATAATAATTAGAAACAACATTGCTGAAGGGATAATAATGATTGGAAACATCACTGCTGAGGGGGTTAAATAATAATTAAAAGCATCACTGCTGAAGGGTTAAAAAATTATTGGAAACATCACTGCTTAGGGTTAAAAAATAATTAGAAACATCATTGCTGAAAGGTTAATAATGATTGAAAACCTCATGCTGAAGGGTTAATAAAGATTGGAAACATCACTGCTGAAGGGTTAAAAATTATTGGAAGCATCACTGCTGAAGGGTTAAAAATGATTGGAAGCTAGTAAGGACTAGAAATATCACTGCTGAGGGGTTAAATAATAATTAGAAGCATCACTGCTGAAGGGTTAAAAATTGGAAATATCACTGCTGAAGATTGGAAACATCAGTGCTAAAGAGTTAATAATGATTGGAAATATCACTGCTGAAGGGTTAAAAATGATTGGAAGCTAGTAAAGACTAGTAAGGAGCAGAAATATCAGTGCTGAGGGTTAATAAGGATTGGAAACATCACTGCTGAAGGGTTAAATAATATTTGCATCATCACTGATGAGGAATTAAATAATAATTGGAAACATCACTGCTGAGCGGTTAATAAGGATTGGAAACATCACTGCTGAAGGGTTAAATGATAATTGGACTGATCACTGCTGAGGGGTTAATAATGATTGCCAAAGCTGCCCCAAAGGATCTGGGATTTCATCTGCTCAACCCCCTCATTTAATTGTGTTTTTTCACCTTCTTGTTTGATGATCTCTGTGCTATGCTGATGTCGATGGGCTCGATGTTTCCTTTCCTCACCACGGGTTCTTGTCCAGAAAATGTCACCTGGTGGAAGGGCTGCAGTCGTTCCAGGCACCTGCACAGAGCAATAATCTGTGTCACTCTGGGGAGGGAGATTGAGAACAAGCACCTGCTCAAAAGGCTGTCCCATTTAAGGTGTGAGATCTCATCCTGTCCCTATTTATCTCCAGGACATCACAAATCAGGCAGCTCCCAGCACGGGGTTTGAGTTGCAGGCAATAAATCTGTGCAGTTCTGGGAAGGGAGACTGAGGGAACAATCACCTGCTCAAGAGTTCATCCCATTTGAGGTGTGAGATCTCATCCTGTTCTGATTTATCCAACAGGCAGTCACACAGAATGGCATTCACCTTTACAAAGCTGCAAAACAAAAGCACACAGAGGAACAAACCAGGTCATTTTTTTCCTCTCGTTTCAGCCTCTCCTGTTGGAAGCAGGGGAGGAAAACTTCCACCTGTACTCACTTTTTGTTTGTTTCATCAACCAACTCATTACTCTTCACATAGTTAATGATGATGTTTCTCACCTCACTGCTTGAGAGGATGCTGCCTTTTCTGGAGACAAAGAGAATTTTTAACTCAAAACATTTGGGAGCTGGGTTCTGGCAGTAAGAGAGAAACAGCAACTACAATTTTGTTGCTCTCTTTCTTTCTATTTTTGTGCTTACCTGTGTCCAGATTCCCGAAAGAGTGGGATCATTTTTGTGGACACCCCATAGAGTGGAATGATTTCAGGAGCATGGTACACTTGTTCTCTCTCTTCACTTTTGCTGTCTTGGGCAGCAGAGGCTGAGGAAAATCCTTCAGGCACTGCAAATGCTTTAATGCTGCCACGAGAATTGTTTGGTGTGAGTGAAAGGGATGGAACAGAGCTGGAGGCAGCAGATTCTACTCCCTCTTTCAGAGATTCCAAATTCTTTTAAAGACTGTGATATTATTCTACGTACTCTGGGTGCTTCCAGTCCACGTCCACGATGCTCTCCACACCTCTGCTCAGCTCCTTCACTTGTAGGATCCTCTGGTGCTGCATGCATTGCAGGAATTTAGAGAACTGCAATCAGAAATGTGGAGTCAAGCATTTTAAACGCCTGCTCTTGTGTTTTAAACTATTTCTCTTCTTCTGTTACTTATTAAAATTAATTTAAAAAAAGAAACAACACCCAAACCAACAAAAAAAAAAATCTCTCACCTTCTTATAGCTTGATTTCTTTATGTCCAGTTGTTTTCCAGCAGGGCTATAAAGGGATTTTTTAAAAGTTCTTTAGTTATAAGTCACCCTTCATTTCTTCTTAAATCTTACTACTTATGCTAGAAGTAGCAAGATTTAAGAATATGAATAACACAGAGAATATAAACAACACAGAGAATATAAATAACATAGATAAAGAGTTACTCCAAAGAAGTGGATAAATAGAATGTGATG